GGAGGGGTCATTAAAACTGATATTTTGTTTAGCATATTCAACTATCATAAAAACAAAGAGGTCATTCAGATGAACTAAGTTTGATTCTAAACAAGTTGTTCTAAAACTCAGGCTTTTCAATTTCCTTTTTTCAGGCTTTTCAATTTCTGATGTATATAAAAAGTATGAAGGAGAAGAAATAAACTCTAATAAAATAAAATGTGAATGATAAAAAGTATTGGAAAGAGGGTAAGAAAGTATACAGCTCTGTTTACAAGAACCTATCATTTTTTATCTGGAAACAATGATATTAATAATCATGTTAGGATCAAAATGCTAAAAACAGTTAAATCAATTGAAAGTTCACTGAGACAGTACAGAACCAGCATTCAAGTACTGTTTTTTGGACTCAAAGTGATTTCTCCTATCCACTAAAAGATCTGAAAAGATTACTGCTCTGAAATGTTTCTATTAAACCAAGCATTGTAACATCATATGCTACATGGTTCAGCATATTCTTTCATGATTTGAAAAATCTTAATTCTTATCTTAAGAAAATTGACACAGAAGCAAACATACAACAATCTCCTAGTGGAAGCTGGACTATCTTCAAAGAAAGAGGTTAGAGGATAACATGCAAATGCAAATTTTTCAGAGCTTAATTGTCTCATTAACATCTACTGTCATGATTCAATTCTCATTTGCTGGAATGCAAAACTTTCCACATTACACATATGACATTTGCCTTTAAATGTCTTTACTGTTATTTATGTTGTCACTCATTTCTAATATTTAGCAACTCAAAAGCTGAAATATGGGATATAGAAATGAAATGTTACACTCATGGTATTAGCCATTAGGAATTTAAAACATTAAAAATTGTTTAAAAAATGAAAATATTTTAAATGATTTAAAAATTAGTTAAAATCTGATTATTATATATTGTGGTTTTAACAAAATTTAAAACATCATTTTAGTCATAAAGAGCTTTTTTTCCTTAGCATAACTAATTAAAATTATATTTAAGACTTTTGTGCAGAAATCTCACTGTAGGGGCTGGGGAGATGGCTCAGTAGAATAAGCGCTTGCCTGGCAAGCCCAACTGTCTGAGTTCAATCCCCGGTTCCACCAAAAAAAAAAAATTAAAAAAAGAAATCTCACTGTAGAAATCTGTACAACTCTCCTGCCCTCTTTTATCATTGAAGTTCATCTCTAGTTCATCACATTGTAGAGTTTGTATTTTCTTCAAAAATAAAACATTTTATTTTTTGAAACCTCTTACAGATTTTTTCCATGAATTATGTACAATGCCTTTGCTAATATTTCAATATTAATTACAAATATGCATTTCTTACCTATTAGTTTTATTTCAATAAAATGTATCAACAAATATAAAAATATACACCATACATAAAGTGAAAAACTTAGGGCAAAGAGAAATCATGGATACAAATTGAAGCATAGAATTACAGCGGTGAGCTAGCTCAGCAAAGTAAACACCTGCTTAGGCAAGTGCAGGAACTGGGGTTTGATCCCTGGCAGCACATGCTACACAGGCTCCGCTCCTGGATGCGCTCAGCTGGCCACAGAAGTTAGGTGTGGTGGCGCATGCTTGTAATCCCAGTGTGGGGGAGGCTGAAAACAGGAGGATCACTATGAGTCCAAGCTGCATAGTGAGACCCTGTACCAAATATATTAGAAAAAAAAATCAAAACAAAACAAAAAAGAAAAAGAATTACAGTAATACATAAAATTAATATTATAAGATGAATTTTCCAATTATTTATACTTGAAATTTCTGTCAATGCATAAGGCAAACTATATTTTGATAGAAATGACAAAAAACAGGTTAATCCTGAGAAATTTTATAAAGAAAAAGAAGTAATATACACTGACCTCAGTAAGAGACTTGAAGTCTAGCCATTGAAAAATCACAGCACCATGCCAGTGTCTAATTCAGCAAATTCAATGCTTCAGAAACAAGTCATTGTCACAGAAAATTCAATGCCAATAGAATAGTCATTCAAAGAAAATAAAATGTAGGAGGAAAAGGGTCTCTTCATGTTCCTTAGTTATTGAAACAATAGGCACACTGAAATAGTCACACTGAGTTCCACTGGAAAAACACAGTTTCAAACTAAAATTGGTAGCAACTGCCATATCTCTTAAGGGAATGTGCCTTGGCATCAGATTTGTGTTCAAACATTCAAATAGCTAATAGTATTGGAGGCCAAAGGTATCACCATTTGTAAAATTAAGATTAAATGAGATACAAATTGAGTATCTCTTATTCATATTTATTTTTATGTAACAATTCCTCAAAAGAAATTTAATTACTAGGTATTACAAACATATGCTAATGCAAATAGTTGGAAGCAGAAGTGTTCTGGATTTTAGAATATTTTCATGTATATAATGAGACATCTTAGGCATACAACGCATGTGTAAATACAAAATTCATTTATGCTTCATGTTTACCTTATGTACATAGCCTGAAAGTAATTTTACACTATATTTTAAAATGTTTTTCATCATGAAAAAGTTTGTGAACACTGAAAAAACAAAGGAAAGGTATCACTATTTCAGTTACCCATGTGGACAATCTGTAGTCATTTATCATCACCAGCCATTCTTTTTGTTTTGTTTGTCTTGTCTTGTCTTGTCTTGTCTTGTCTTGTCTTGTCTTGTCTTGTCTTGTTTTGTTTTGACACAAGATCTCACTATGCATTTTAGGCTGCCCTTGAGCTCATTTTGTAACCCACGCTGGCCTCAAACTCCCAGTGATCCTCCTGCCTCAGTCTGGTGAGTGCTGGGATTACAGGTATCCATTCTAAATGGATATGGTACCAATATGTAACCATTTTCTTACATCTATTCACACTAAGTATACAATAATAAAAGTAATATACTATTGATATAGTGAAAAAATAATTGTTCAAAGTAACTACGTAGAACATTTAAGCACCACTAAGATACTTGTGTCAGCTGTTAACCAGCAGTAACAACATATAATAGCAGAATTTCAGTTACCATTTATGTTACTGTTTTATTAAAAGGTTGTTATAAATTGTACTATACTGTTTTATGTGAGAAGAAATGTCAGAAGAAATTGAGGGAACAGAAAGTAGGGGTTCAAAGGGATGAATATTTCGGATAGTTTTTAAAAATGTTTCCTATAGAGTCATCTGCTTTATTAACCTTAGTTTTTGACTGAGAAATTTCTCTTTGATTTTAAACTGTCAGGATCTCTTGTATTATAAATGAATACTGCTCTAAAGTTGCAAAAAACTCATTATACATTTCCACTATATCATTTCCAGGCATTTTTATAGTATTAACACTGTTGTTTTCATTATTATTATGATCACCTTGATTCAGAACTCTTTTTGCTAGTTCAACATCAATTAAAAAATGAAATAGAAGTTCATTTTTAACATTATGCAGTGTTGTTCTACTTTTCATTAATTCTGTGCATCACTTTCCACTTTTTTCTTAAAATCATTCCAACACTATACTCTTCTATATAAAGTGCCACATGTACATCATTTTCCAATTTATTCAACACCTTAACTTTCTGTGCTACAGATTAACACAAATGTCTCTTTCACTGTTACCGACAGAGGTATGTGCAGTTCCTTTTGGCATTTTTAAACAATATCCTTATACTACAGAGCAGAGAATAAGGAAAATAGCACAGTAAATACAATGTACGTTGGGGGCATCATGTGGAGCCCTCCTTTGACATATCTGGTCTATACGAATATAGATTTTATCACCCCTTGTGGGGAAGGGGGATCTGCACTCGCAAAAACGATACAGCTATGGAGGTATTGGAGGATCATGTTTTGTCCTTAGTGATGCCAAATAAACTGTGTTCTGATCCTGAGTATTATTTCTAATCCATCATAAAGTCAGATATGTAATTTTCCACCTGTGATATCATGTCAGAACTGAGAAGTTTTCAGATTTTGAAGCACTTTGGATCTTGGATTTTTTGACTAGGGATGCATAACCTTAATAAGCTTGTATAACTTAAACTAATAAACCCTAAATATAGAAACCCTAAATAACAGTTTCTATTAACCAGATGAAAAGGAGTTTGATAGTGATTACTCTCCTTTCTATGCTACCAAGGAGAACAATACATTAACTGTAGACCCTCTTAAGGACTTCTCAATAAACCTCCAAGGCCACTACTGCTGTACAATGAGGGAAAGAGGATTATTCAGTATTACTTACATATATACCTGGTAACATAAAAGACCAGTATTACTGTACTGCTGAAACTCCAAATTAGTATTTCCCCCCAATGGACTTAGGTAAGATATCTAAAAATGTTTTCTTTTCTAAATTCAAAGTATTATTTTGTAAATATTCAAACATGCCAGACATATACAACTCATAAGCTGCAGGAATAAAACGGGTAAGGAAAATGCTTCTTTACCATCTAGTACCTAACAGATGCAAAGTGCCATAATTTCAAATCAGAAGTGAAGAAGCTGTTATAGCAGAGCAACATTGACCAAAAAAATTGATGTACATATAAAAGCAACCAGTTGTACGTTGACAAGAAGCGGGATGTATTTTTAAAACATATAATGTGCTCATATCTCAGTTAAAGTAATTAGAAGGTTGTTTAATGAGTATAAAATCAGAGGAAAGAAAATTTGACTATCTTATGAAATACTGATCCAAACGATACTAGTGATGAACTCATAACTCAGAGGAAAATACTTCACACTGTCACAGTGAAAAGTTTATATCTCAAATTCTTTTATCTTGATTATTTTATTACATTTCAACATTGCTACATATTACAATCTTCAAATACTTTCTGTATTTGATAAAATAGAATGGTTACAACTAATACGTTTGGGTTTGTAGACTTCCTAAAAGTACTTTTAACTCACATAGCCAGATTTTTATTATTGCTTACTTATTTATAATTTGTAGACTTTTATTGACTCTTTAAATATAGAACTATTTTTAAAGGATATGAAAATAAATCCAAGTATACATACCACGTGAAGAATCTTATTCTCTGTTTCATATACAGTACAGTCCTGAAAAAAGGAAACACATACATTAGGTCCAAAAAAATCAAGCATTCTTTTAAATATTTTCTTAAGGATTATATGATAATCTGCAAAATCTTGACAATTCCATTAAAAATAATAATAATGATGGGAAAAATCGGGATAGCTCTTAACTAAATATTAATAGCAGTTAGCTTGCATACTCAGCTACTGAAAATATCTTATTTTTATTTAACTATATTTTCCAATTTCACCAACTTTAAAAATGCCTAATAATGTATATGTACGTTAAGTATACTTCTACTGAAGATGTAACTAAAACCTACCAACCAAAAGTGCAGGTCCTCATGTATTCACTTCTGAATTTTATAAGAAATTTACAGAAGACCTAATGCAACCACTCCTTACACACTTTCATGAAATTGAAAAAGAATCAATACTTCCAAAATCATTCTTGAAAGCAACTATAACCTGATACCAAAACCAGAGAAGGTTCTCAAGAATATAGACACAAATTCGCAAGAAGATATTTCCAAACAGAATGTACCAAATCATGAAGAAGATTATATACCATGATCAAGAAGGTTTCATCTCAATGTTGTAGGAATGGTTCAAAACATACAAATCAATAAATTCAATGCATCGTATTAATAGAGCAAAGGATAGAAACTATACGATTATCTCAGTAGATGCTGAAAAAGCATGTGACAAAGTCCAGTGCCTATTCATGATAAAATCTACAGATAACTGGAAAAGATCTCAATCTAATAAAAGGCATCAATGACAAATTAAGAACCAACATCATACTAAGTGGTCAAAACCAAAATACTTTCATTTTACAATCAGGAATAAGACAAGGATGCCTTCTGTCATCATACCATTTCAATATAGTTTTGGAAATATTAGCTAGAGCCATTAGAGAAAGTAAAGCAATAAAAAGCATAATGATAAGAGATGAAGAATTTAAATTGTCATTATTTGCAGATGACATTATACTCCACAGAAAAAAACCAAAAAACTTCACCAAAAGAATTACAGATTTAACAACCAGATTCAGTATCACAGCTGGAAACACAGTCAACACTCTACTATATTTCTGTGCACAAATAACGAATGAATTCAGACAGAAAGTAGAAAAACCACAACTTTCACAAAAGCACTAAAAAAATGAAATAGTGAGGAATCAATCTAATGAAGACAGTAAAGAGTTTACATGAAAAACTACAGTACTCTGAAAAAGGAAATTGAAGAGGATATAAAAAAATGGAAACATTCGTTTCTCTTGGGTAGGAAGAAGCAAATGTAAAAATTTCCATACTTTCAAAATTGTTACACAAAATTAACGCAATCCAGATCAAAATACCAATATCATGTCTCACAGAATTAGAGACAATAATCCAAAAATTAATTTGGAACCAGAAGAGACCTAGAACAGCAAAAGTTGGGCCAGCCAAATAGCCCAGTGGATTAAAGAGCCTGCAAGCAGGTTCAGGGGCCAGATCCCAAGGCCTGCAGTGCCAGCCCCGCCCCCGGGGTGCCCTGAGCCTGCAATTCAGACTAGGCGTGGTGGTGCATGTCTGTAATCTCAGCTCTTGGGAGATTGTAAACTTTGGAATCACTACAAAAGTCCAATCTAGTAGGGGACTCAGGTCAACAATTTCTGACATTGCCAGTCAAGCAGAAGACCCAATACTATTATGGGCTACTGGACTCTTTTAGAATATTTTGCTGAGTTCACACACCTATAATATTCAAATAACGCAACTTAACAAAAAAAGGGGATACAGATGAATTTCCATGTTGTATCTGTGTATTCAAAGTGGTTAGGATAGATATATAGTTACATTCTCTTAATGAATAGAGGGATCTGTTCTAATAGTGTTTGTAAATAGGATATCATGTCTGCATCCTGTACAGCAATTAACCACTAGGAAGAATGTATGCAATGTGTTAATTATTGAAACTGTCCTACCAATTTGGTTTGAAGCTGTCTCATTGCTATATGTTTCTCAATAGAATTATGGAAAAAAAGTCCAATCTAGTAGTGAGACCCTGAACCCCCTGTAGACCCTTCCCTAAAATACAAAATAATGATAATAATAATAATAATAATAATAATAAATTAACTGAAATAAATTGGACACATATGTTTAAACATCCCATTATTTCTCTAGTTTGAGAAACCAAAAGGGGAAATACAGGCAAATATTTATAATAGATATTAGGAAACCACAAGAAAATCATCAAAGAGAAGGGGAACAAGGGAAGGGGAGGGAGAAAGAAAGGAAGACAAAAGAAAAGAGATTAAAAAGATAAAATTCAAACAAAGCTTTTAAGGAGAGACCAGTTAAAGGGAGGAAAGAGGAATGAGGAAGCACAGAATCAAGCTGCATTTCGTACAGGTCCAAATGCTGTACACTGAATGTCGTCATTATGCACATGTAAAATGTACCAATAGAATTAACTTTTAAAAAACCCAGAATGTACTGAAAAATTATTTTAACTGTGATATATCTTTGAAATATCTAACATTTCAACCACTGCTATAGATTAGCATATTAAGAAAACAGTAATAAGATCTCATATTTTTATTATTTTCAGCAATTTCAAGCTAATAAGTGCATATTTTAAAATTAGTATATCCTTATGTAAGTACAGAGTTTATATTTATCACTGAAATTTGGCTCCACAAAATTATAATTTTTAAATAAATATGCCATTTTTAACCTTTAATTGCATAATACAGAATAAGCAGCAACCTGACAAAGCGATCTTTGTTCAGCAACAACAACTTTTTGGTTTAGTTTCTTAATGTATAAAATGGACGTAATATACATTAGTAGCAACCCAGTAAGAGATTTAAATGAGAAACACAGATAAATTGACAGTCAAGAGGATGACATATTGAAGTAATAAATGTTTTAGCTGAGTATTATGGGTGTTCTACATTACTTTTAGTTTTTAAAAATTGCATTTACCTCAAAAAATAAATGTAGCTAATTATTACTTGGCATGTTCTGAAAAAAGCCGTATTTTTCATAGTATCATGATTTTTAAGGAATGATAGTCCATTTTGTTTCACTTCCTAAGTTAAATCTTAAAAAAAGCAGTCTTGTTTCACACTGATTTTTAATAATAATATTCCCCTATAATATCCTTTCAGATGTGAAGTATACATTCATGTCAGTGGCATATTATATAACCAGGGGCAGACTTTTGAAAAGCTAAACTCAGGTTCCAATCATCTCACAAAGTGACAGAAATATTAACTCTTGCCTTTCTGACCATGTTCTTGTGCCAAAGGAGAAGTCTGCTACAAATATAGCCACATTTGCATATGCTTATCAAATTGTTTTACAATATAATTCAATGCTTTTGCTTAATATGCTTAATCGTATGCTTAATCAAAGTCAACTGATTATTAATTACATATGCAGAAGAGCTAAGGTGAAGATAAAGCATTTGTTTTCAGAAAGCACACTTATCTATGCACCTGAGTTTGTAAGAGTTAAGCATTGTACAAATTAATTTCAAACACAAGTGCATTGGGAATAGACAATCTGGGAAAAGCTGGAAAGGTGCTGGTGTTCCCCAGTATACTTCTACAGCCTGTCTCTGCTGAAGTGGATACACAATTCACTATTTTCCTATCTTACCAGAATCAAAGGATATAGTTAAATATTCATAGGAGATTTAATTTCTTATTCAAACTTCAAAGGAATTTTCAATGAAAAAAGTAAATATGATCTAAATGTATATCCTACTAAAGGTATAATAATTATGCAGAAAGCAATGAGTTCAAGACAAAATATAATTTACTTGTACATCTCCAGTGTGATATAAGAAATATACTCTTAAAATAAGCATACATTGTTTACAGTAATCATATTATTTGTTGATAGTAGTGTTACTGTTGTGCTGAATCTGTCATGTGTACTCTATAAAATGAAACAATTGAACAATTTTGTGACTGTAATTCTATTACCACTGGTGTCATCAATATTTTATTATAGAAGAGAGTAAATATATATATGTATTACTGAAATAAAATGAAAACTCTAGACACTGTTAATGTATTATGTATGTATGTACATAGGTATGTACATAGTTCTTAGCTCAGCACACTTAAATGGCATAGGAATAATGACCAACTATAATTATGAACATTCCACTGTTGATATTGTCTTTAAATATAATTTCCCAGGCCTTCTTGGCAAATGTCGCCGTACATCACATTCATAAGAGGAAATGTGTAAGATGAGCTTGGATTATATTGTAAAACATGATAGAAGGAAGAATTGTGCCAGTTGGACTCTGTAGTCAATGAAAAGACATCACTGCTGGCTAAAAACAGAACAGTCTGCGCAATGACTGGACACAGTAAATACTGTGAAATATAAAGTACATTATTATGTTCAATGCAACAATATTAAAGTTAAAACACGCATGTATCTAAAATATATTTAAGGGGCCAGGAAGATGGCTCAGTGGAATAAGCGCTTCCCTGGTAAGCGCAAGGGCCTGAGTTCAATCCCCGGTTCCACAAATAAATAAATAATAAAAAATAAAAAA